GAGCTGCTGCGAGGACAGCCTGACACTTTGTTAGAAAGAAGTAGACTCCTGTTTTAATTTCTTCTTTCTCTTTTTAATCCTAACAAGATGGGAGCCTTGTAACAGGCCTGGGCCACTGCCCGGGCAGAGCCGGCCGCGTCCTTCCCCTCACTGTGTGCCTGTCGGCCGCGGCCTCTTTCTTCACTCATTCCCTCTCAAGCCCCGAGACCCCACGGTGCCAGCCTCTGGCCCCAGCCCGGGACTCAGCTGCCGTTGAACCACCAGAGCCCTTGCTTTCGCAAACTTATTTTCCCTCAAGTCAGAAAGATGACAAAGACGGTGGATCACAGGTCACCAAGTGTGACGAGCGGGGGAAGGGGAGTGACAAGTAGGGTCAGGGGAGCAGCACTCAGAAATGCCACCAGTGCCCACAAGAAGTGCAGGCACCGAGGTGGGACCCTGAGCAGAGTGGGCCAGAGTCGCAGAGGGCAGGGCAGGGTTACTCTGATGACACCTGAAGCCACTCGAATTGATCCGTCCCTTTAGGGAAGGGGGCAGAGTGGAAGGGGCAGCTGCTGCAGCCAGGGTTGATGGTGGCCCTGACCAGGAGGTGGGGATGGAATGCGACTTCAGGGCCCCAGGACCTTGGACGGTGTGGGAGTGAGAAAGTGATGTCACGGCTGATCCCAGGCCCACGCACCTGGAAGGCAGTTTGCTTTGGGGACCTGGGGAGGGCTGTGTTTGAAGCTGGTGGCTCTGGGGAGAATAGAGAACTGACTCTGGATGCTCTGTCTTGCTTAGGTGGGCCACCCTCCCCCAGGTCCCTCGCCCTGGCCACACTGCTCCCGAATTCCTAGGATGCTGTGACAAATAGGCCTTCTGATGTCGCGGCCTTGCCTCGGGGACACTTGCTGCTCTCATGTTGGCCTCTGCCTTGGGGTGGCTGCTCTTGACACCCTTGCTACATCCCTGCCTGGCTCTGCCGCTCTCATTTCACCAAGTTTATGGCAAGTTTTAACCTCTTATGGGTTCAAAACTTTGTTGCTGACCTTTTCTAAAAATGTCATGGCAACTTCCGCATATTTTTCAAGGTCAACATTAATATCAATATGTCTAACGAGCTCTCCGAATATCCGTGGAGGTTTTCTTCAAATTTTATTAAGCTTATTTACAACTTGCAACAGGTTTTCTCTTTTGGAATTGAGTCTTTCTATCCGGAACACGACACATCTCCCCATTTATTCCTCTCTCATTTTGGTACCTTCACAGTGTGTGTTCAGGACTCTTTAGGTCTGGGCCTTTCATCCTGGTACTCAGCAGCTTTGTCATCAATGTGATTGTAGACTTTTTTCACAATTCAACTTCTATTATAGTTACTATTTTTTAAAAACTGGTATTGCTTTCTTGTATTCCTAGCTTGAAACTGACCACTTTCCTAAATTGTCTTATTGATATTTTCTAGTCATAAAATCACCTCCTCAAAAATGAGGATAAATATTGTTTTCAGCATTTGCTGCTTTGTTTTCTTGGATCAAATGTGGTGTAGAAGTGCCCAAGCCCACCAGGCTGACGTCAGCAGTCCCCTGCTGTCCTCTGCCATCTTTACCAGGAATGGCTGCTGAGTGCTGTGGGGTGCCTTTGTGCCATCCCTCAACATGTGGCTTCACTGATGTGAGGAACTGAGAGATTTGCTGACTCTTGATGCGTTCTTAGAGTGAACCCCAGCTGGCCTCAGTGAGACTGAACCCAGGGGTGCTTCATCACCAAGCTGCATCCCCAGCCCTCTCTTATTTTTGAGACAGGTTCTCACTAAGTTGCCCAAGCTGGCCTCAAACTTGTGATCCTCTTGCCTCAGCCTCCCGAGTCACTGGGGTACAGGTGTGCCCCACCATGCCCAGCTGGAGAATCTTTTTTAAATGTGGTGTTGAATATTCCTAACATTTTGTTTTTGAATTCTTACATCCATAGCTATAAAATAGATTCGCTTATAATTTTCATTATCATATTTTGGTATTAGGATAATATGCAATGATTTAAACCCTACATAGCCCTTTCTGTGTGCTGGAATAATTTGACTAATGTAAGAATCATCTATTCCCTGAAGGTTCCACACGCTCGCCTTTAGAACTGTCTGGGCTTGACACCTTTTTAATGATAGATGGGAGCTCTTTTACAGCTTTTTCCATTTCTTTGTGGTTCCCGGTCTATTCAGGCTTTTCTAATACCTCAGTTAAATTTAGTAATCTATATTTTGCTAGAAATCTATTCTGTTTCCTCTTGAGTTTAAAGCATATTAACCTAAGGTTGCACACAATACTTTGTTAGAATCCTCCCGAATCTGTTGTCAGAATAATGGTATTTTCCGTTTGCTTTACCTTAATGGTATTTCAGTTGTGCTTTAACACTTTGGAAGAACATCCACATACATTGTCTCAAGTGAATCTCTGTCCTCCTGGACAGATGAGGAAACTGAGGCAAAAGGTGGGCACGTGGCTTCGGGCAGGGCCACAGGGCCCGGCGGGGGAGAGTGTGGACCCGGCTCCAGAGCTGTGCCCTCCCTGGGCCCCCACCTCTTCTTCCCAGTGTGCTTTCCTGGGTCCTCCTCAGCCCCCCGATGTATGAGGGTGTGAGACCAGACTCTGCGTCGGTCCTCGGCTCTCTGGGTGCCAACGTCCCTTGGAGCCAGCCTTCCAAGGAAATGCCTGGTTAGCTCTGAGAAGAATTCTAAAAATGCTTAAAATGCATCAGTGATATCGCTTTTCCGAAACGAGAGAAGAAAGGCATCACTGACTTCCAGACGGCTCCGATGGACATCCTGAAAAGCCTCTGTCACTCTGTGGGTGGCCGAGGACGTGGTGGGCTTTGGCTTAAGTGGGAGCCTGTGAGGGTGGTTCTGAGGGCATTCCCAGCAGCCTCCTGGGCTTGCTGCAACGTCACCACGTGTGGGACATGGAAAGGGCTGTCACTGACACAAGGAGCAGCATAGGACGCCCAGGGTAGCTCAGAGGATGCTTGGGTCCAGGGGCAGCTCCCCACACCCCAGCCCTGGGCTCTCGGAGGCGGGACCCCGCCAGCCCTCCCCCGAGGCCTGGCTTTGGCACCTTTTCTGACTCTGCAGGGGATGATGTAGGGCTGCCCCCTGGCTCCTGGCCTCCTGCAGAAGGCTGGGATTCAGCTGCCCACGGGTCTCCCAAGCCCAGTGTCCTCAGTGCTCCCTCCTGACTGGCCTTAGGGTAAACTGGGAGGCCCTTCCATTGTCATGGTCCCTCTGCCGACACTCACCAAGCGGCTTCCCCTGCTTGTTCTTCCTGCCATCTGTCCCCTGCGTGTCCGCACAGTGACCAGCAGCAGATGTGAGGGTGGTGCAGTCCCCTCGGCCCCCTGCTCACCAGCACATGAGCCTCCACAGGCTTCTGCTGCACTCCTGCCTGGGGTCCAGTTCCTCCTCACTCCAGGACACCCCCGGGCCCTGTGGACAGCGCCCCCGCCACCAGAGCCCTCCCCAGGCCACAAGCCTGGCCCCACTGCTCCAGCAGATCCCTCCACACTCACCAGAAATAAATCCCTGGGGTCGTGACAAGGCCCCCGCTTCAGGGCACATTGGCCAGCAGCGTGCCACCACAGCAGCCGTGAAGGGCCAGAAGGGCTTCCCGAGTCCAGCTGCTGGAGCCGACCAGACGAACCCACGTCCCGAAACCAAAGTGCAGATGACAATCCTCTCGCTTCCCTGGCCACGCGGTCAGCACATGCCATGTGCCTGTTACATGACCCAAAAGACAGAGCGGGGGACCAGCAGGGCAGGACTGGCCCCTGGACGTGGGGCCACCTCCCAGCAGACACCATCTCGAGGGCTGTGGAGGGAACGCCTGTCCCTGGTGGATGCTCATGCTTGCCCCGCCCGGTGCCATGCGCAGGGCAGCCCAAGCCTCCTCCCAGCTAGGACAGACCTGCCCCTGGACACAGACGTAGACCTGCCTCGGTGGGGGGCTGGTGTCCTGGCCTCTCCCCCTCAAGCTGGGCTTCCCTGGGATTCGCCTGGGTACTGGGCCCAGAGCCAAAAAGTCCTGCCTGCCTGCTCAGCAGGTCATCTCCTCTGTTCTGTGCAGACCGCTGATGAGTGGGCTGAGAAAATGCCCCGGATCCCGACCTCCTCATCGCCTGGGGACATGGCCAACAGGGACATCCTAGAGCGGCTCCACAGAGCAGTGGCCTCCCACCCCCACACCATCGCCCAGGAGCTGGAGAACTTTGACACCACGAAGACCAACACCGTCTCCCGAGACGAGTTCAGGGCCGTCTGCGCTCGGCATGTGCAGATCCTGACGGACGAGCAGGTGAGACCCGTCCAGCCCCAGGCAGGTGGCCCCGTGCCCGTCCCTGCGCGCGCTCCATTGAAAACACGGCAGGTTTTACTTATTTTGTTTTGTTTTTAAATCTTACCGAAGACCCATGGGAGCTTCATGTTTATGTGACAGCTATAAACCACGGGGCTTCAATCAGGGTGCAAACAATGTCCCTTTCATTGTTAAACTCAGCCCCAGCTCCCTTTCTCCTTCCCCACCTGTGGTCACCCAGGGCGCACGAGATCCAGGGAGGGGGCGGCTCTCCCTGCCCTGGCCTGCTGCTGCTCACCTCCCTCTCCCTGCCGCTCCCGGGGCCGCTCCTTGTGCTGGGGACACGCCCACCTGGGGAGCCTCCTGACTGTGCACAGGCTGGACACAGGCCATCGCTGTCTGGGTCCCTGCTCCCCATCACTGAGCCCCGGAAGGGCTTCCCCGCCGCTCCCTCCCCTGCGGCCCAGCTGGGCTTCTTCAGCTGGGAGTCTCTGGTCACCTGCTGCCCTGGGTCTCTTGGGCCTTCATGGCCTGCCAAGGCAAGAGCACCTCCCAGCAGACACCATCTCGAGGGCTGTGGAGGGAGCGTCTGTCCCTGGCGGACGGTCATGCTAACTGCTGGCACCCAGGGGCACCACCCGCCCCCCACTTTGTTTCTCCTTCTGTGCCAAACTCTGGCATAGTGCCTGGCACAGAGAGGATGCTCAGCCAGCACCCATGAGCGCAGTGTCCACCATGGGGTGGCCCCTCTCCCAGCCCAGTGGCTGAGCAGCCACACGTCACAGTGCCACCGGCCTCACACCCTAGGACTTCCCTTCAGCCCCAAACCTTCCTGCGCCAGCCCCCTCCAGCCACAGGATTCAGACACAAAGTGAGTCCCCTCCCGCCAAGCAGAGGCCCCTCCTGCCTCCCGGCTCTGCTCAGGCTCAACCGGAGGCTTCCAGCAGACCTGGGGCTGGGGGTCCTGGGGGGAAACGGGAGCCACAGCTGTCTCCCTTCACCTCCAGAGTCTGGGCATCTGAACTCGAGTCTTGTTTGTCAGCGTTCCGGGTAAGGACTTGAGATTATTCACCGGGAGCTGGGGGCCATCATCACAGCACCCCAGCCCCCTCGGGCTCTGAGCAGCACCCTGAAGAGGGCCCCAGGGGACCGAGAGTGTGAAGGCTTAAAAAGATCCCACCTCTTAAGCACTTTCTCAGGACCATCTCTGCTCAGTATGCATCACTGTTTCAGGACAGTCCTGTCCCTCCGAGGACCAAAGGGGAGCCAGGCCTGGCTGGCAGTCGCTTCCCTGTCTTGGTTCCATGTGGACACCTAAAAGGAACATAGCCATGCTGTGGTTCTGTGGGGCCAGCTAGTGGAAGTTCACCAGTAAAGAACTGACCGTGAAGGTTTTCCCTTTCATCTACGGGGATACAACGTTGCTCTAATTATTGGTATAAATTAGTGGCATGCTGACATACCTGACACTCCTAACAGAGAATCTGATTTTGATTTTCCACCAGGAAGACTTCATCATCCCTAGCAATAAAGCCCCCTCAAACAAAACGAAGCATTTATTTTAAAATGCTCATTTCTAAAAATAAACTGATAGGCCTCACTGAGCTCACCTGCAGCAGCCCCAGAGCCCACAGGTGACGGTGCGTCCGAGGAGCAGGAAGTGTGTTCTACCTGGGGAGGGTGCTTCTGGAATGGGCTGGGGACAGGGAGAGCCTCGGGGCTCCGCGCTCTGCCTGGTCACTCTGCCAGTGCCCTTCTTGGCTGAGGCTCTGTACTGACTAAAGCTCAGCTCAGAGGTAACCTGGGCCCCAACAAATCCAGCCCCTCGTGCCACTATTGGTGACTGAAGTCACCGAGATAGTTCCGACCATATTAAATATCATTTTAACTACAGAATTCACCACTTAGTTTATCTACATTATTAAAACATCCCACACTTTTAAAATGACGGTTGTTTGGGGGGCTGCTTTCTTGGCTGACTTCCCTCTGTTGGAGGGAAGGGCCCGGTCTTTTGAAACCTTTGGGTGCCTTTGACCTTTCAGGACAGGAGAGCCTCTTCCTGAGCAGGCCGAGTGGGAAACTGGTGGGTCTGCGTGGATCTGCATAAAGTGTGTCATAGAAAGTGTGGGAACTGGGTCCACTTGGCCATTGCCAAGACGAGAGATGCGGGGTCGCTCTCTCCTTGCCGTTGGTCCAGGTCGTCCCGTGGTGCTGGGAGAGCACTTGCGCGTGCGACCGTATCAGGGGAGGAGCTGTTGGGGTGTCTGAGCATATCAGATCTGAGACTTTCCAAGCAGATGCCCTTAGGAAGCTCAAGAAATGCCCCTCTCGGGCAGCAGACCTGGGTTTCAGCCACTTCTGCACCTGTCCAGCTAGGTCCACGGATAT